GACAGACACCAAACGGCCCTGCTGACTCCTGACCTGCTACAATGGCTGGAGAGAACCCTTAGCGCTCATGTCCTTACAGTGTAGGGTCACATTTCTCACAGCAAAGGAAGTCCTTCCCCCTCCCCAGTCTGACAAGATGTAGCACTGAACTTGAATGGATTGGTGGGCGCAGGATTTGGGGAGACCCTGGTACTTGTGAACCTGAGACGGAAGAGTAAATCCCCAGTGAAATCCCAACTGCCTCAACACCATGAGCAAAGCAGGAGCCGCAGCAGAGCACACTTGCTCAGCGAACTGATGAGCAGGCTTTAATCAGGACCCACGGGACGCCAAAATGCAATTACAGTCAAAGAGGTGATACAGGACAGCATATCAGTATGCTGTATTTTCTCTCTTTTAGTAGCTTGCTTCAGTTTGCTCAGTTTTTAAATCAAAAGGATGTTTACTAACTGATGGTGCTGCAAGCCACAAGCTGAAAAAACAAGCCAGGTTATTTTTTGCTCTTTTAAAAAAACAAACAAACAAAAAACCACCATCCACCAGGGATCTTGCCCAATGGTCAAAACTGCCCAGCTGCTCATTTGTGTGCACAGCTGTATATAATTTGTACAGAGCAGTATAGCTATAGGAGTGGAAGGAACAGAGCAAAACCAAGTTGCCACAATCAGCAACATTAAAAAGATTATTTTACCACTCATCTTCCCAGCAATTAAGGTAGCTTTGCCCCAGTTTTCTGTGCAATTGAACCACCCTGGAAGAATCAACCCCAACATATTTTCAACCCGTGTTTTTGTTTACTCAGAGAAGGCAAATTTTTAATTCACTTCTTACAAGTATTCACAACAGGCCTGGATTATCAAACAGCTAGCCTTAGCCAAACCAAGAGGAAACAAAAAAAAAGCAATGCCCATGTAATGAACTGTTGCTAAACAACATCAAATACATGTGAGGAGATCTTGGTCTGCTCCTGGAAGTTCCATGAGCAAACACACAAAGTGAAATAAATATGGTAGATTATTTATCGCAATTTCTTCACTCAACTCTTAAGAGCTGCTGCCAGAAATACAGTTCCCGTGCATGGAGCAGAAACCGCAGAGGCCCGCCTAAGGCTACTCAGCATGCAGATGTGGTCCAAACTGAATGCTGCTGGTTTCAATTAGGGACCAGAGCTGGTGCTTTAATTCCATCTTTCGAAAAAAGGTCTCTCTGAAAAGGCACAGCGTATGCACAGTGCCTCCCTGTGCAGGAAATAAAAGCCTTACATAGGAATTTAGTAATTAGCAGATCAGACCATTGGTTCATCCCATCAGATAATCTACCTTTGACCAGTGGCCAACATCTAATGTTTAAAACGCAGAAGAAAACAACCTTCAAAAGTACCTTTAGCTGTATTACTTTACAGAGGAGAAAAAAAAATGTCCTCATGACCTATGCAAACAGTCAGCTTATGCCCTGCAGCACAAATTGTGATTACTCTTCTCTTGCCATGCGTAGTTGCAAGTGTTACTATTAGTCATAAAATTATCCAACCCTTAAAAAAAAAATCCAGCCACACCACTTGCATCATTGGCTCCTGCAGCGCCGAATTAACTATGCTGAAATTACCCAGCACATACAAAATAGACTTATTTTACAAATAATGCTTTTTAATTTAATGGCATAACTCCCTTATGTTATGGGGCTGAAGGAAACCAAGAGACTGATTTCATTTCTAGAGCCACTCTGAATTCTGCTGTAAGACCAGCTTTAACCTTTCTCTCTTCGTGGGGAAAAAAAAGTAGATATCTATATCTTACACAAGTAAATCCTGTCACAAGTAAATCTCTTCTGCCTCAACCACCTTTGCTGTTCCTTCCCCTTGGTCCTTCCCAGACCTCAGATCCTGAGCACTGAGCCCACAGAGCTAGCTGCTGTGCTCCAGACGGAGATGTATCTCGGTTCAAGGGAACGTTGGAGCTCAGTCATGCCTGTTTATGTTCTCTTCCATTTTTAAAACAAAGCTGCTCTGGATCTTATTGGCTTCAACCCAGCGGGAGCCCTTCCACTGGCTTCTGTGGGCTTAGATCCAGCCTTTGGCCCTCACTCTACTTACGTCTTGATGAGCTGCAGCAAGCAAGGCAGACAGCTTTGTTGCTTAGCCAATTTTTAACACGCAGCCTAGTGAGTAACTCCTGGATCGCTCACCCTCCTGAGCAGCCTCCTGCGTGACAATTTTTGAAAGAGGTTTGCTTGGATTTTTCAGTTTCAGGTAAACTGTGTCTGGTTTCACTATGGCCTTTCCAGACAACTTTGGCAACTCAGCGGGATCCAGTTATGCAGATGAAGGATGTATTGGTTTGACCATATCAAATCTCATACTAGCCTGACTTTAATTAGCTCCTTGTGGCCTGGTTTTGATCTTAGAAACGCCATGGTAAATCTGGAGTAACTACTCTGAGAAGCAGAGATTTGAGATCAGCGTTTGGCCCCTGCGGTGAAGTTCTGACCTTCTTTTACGCTCCTGCAAGGGCTGATCAGTAAATGGCCACGAGAGCAGCTCCAGGCAAAACCAGACTTCCAGGGCACAGCTTGACAACAGTGCAAAGGACAGGAGGGTCAAGAGTGCCATGCTGTGGAGTAGTTGAAGCTGAGTGCAGCCAAGGGGTATTACTCCTCCCAGGTTCAGTTCAGTGCTAGCACGTACATGAGGATCTCCGCAGAGGTTCACTGGCTCAAATCAGAGCTGCGCTTGGCCCACAGCCTTATAGGGCCCATGAGCAGCTCCCTGCACCTTCTTGTTCTTGCAGCACACGACACTGCCAAATGCTGCTGCTACGTGACATCTTCCTGCCACTCCAGTGCTGTCTTCATACAGACATCCAAACAGCGTGGGCTGCTTGACTGCTACCATGTCTTTGTGAACCACAAATAGCCCGGCTGAGGCACAGGCCGGCGGAAGGTCTGGAAACTACACAAGGTTCTTGGAAGCAACTGATGGCATTTGGCCACTCATATAGGAAATACACTTGTACAAACATGCTTGCAGACAGTTCCTCACCAGCTCCCCATCCCAAAAGGCGTGCCAGGGGTTCGTTCATCCACCTCGGGGATGGCGTTGACCTGCTGGCTCTAACTATTCCCACCCAGCTGCCCCAGTCCTGGTCTTTTCCATTATCCACTAATACTGACCGCTCTGCAATTGTTTCCTTGGAAGCTTATCTGTAACCCTAATCCCAGATCATGCTCTGGTTATTTCCCATTGATCCCTGACCTCCCTGTGCCTTGCTCGCTTTGCAGCCCTTCCAGAAGACACAGTCCAAGCATGGCAGCCTTCTCCTCTGTGACTTCCCTATCAGTGCTGCTGGCCTTTTCACTTGTTTGAGACCTGTATCACCTACAGCCTTTTTCCCCAGATCATGCAACTCCAACAGCATCAGAGTGAAGCATCCGAATACAGGTCTCATTCAAAGTAACCACCACTGAAATGTTCCTACTAGGCCTGCCTGGCGAACAGGCATAGTTTTTGCAGGTTTGATGGTCTGTGCTAGCAGCAGCCAAGCGTACCCCAGGGGAAGGAAAGAGCTCCATTTTGCTTTACCGGCCACCTCCCCTTCACACAAGGCACTGAAGAATCACCTGCATCTCACTCTACTTGAGGTCAATAGGATTTTTGCCACTGATCTCCAGAGGAAAACCATTTGGCTTATACCTTTTTGCTGAATGATACACATAGGTACTTGGAAATGTATAAATATTATGGTGTATGCTGGCACCCAGTCCCGCTGTAACCCCTTCTCATTCTGCAGTTTAGCCCCTATCTATACTGAGTCCTCGATTACCCAGTTTCTTACTTCACCATTGCCAAATCCCCAAGCAAAGCGCACAGGATTCTCACCTAAGTCCCTGCAGACCTTTGCCTGGCAGTGTTGTGGCACAGGCAATAATTTGATCAGGCCAGGTGCGTGGTGGGATGCCTTGAAGTCACTGTTGCTTGCTGCCACCAGCAGCCTATACCTGCACGAGGAGGTTTCTAGGAGTTGCCCCAAAGCCAAGAAGCCCAGATGACCCGATAGAGCCAGCAACTGCCCTCAGATTGAGTAGACGGATAAAAACAACCACGTGCACATCAGTAACTGACACCAACCCCCAGACAGACCTTCACATCAAAGCTTTCCTGCAGGAGAGCCACCGAGTCAGGCACTGATGGGCTCTGCTGGGATGGGAAATCTGGCAAATGCCACAGAGCACGTGGGCTGTCAAGGAGACCTTCTGTGTGAGTTCCCTTCAGGTGCAGACAAAGGAGATCTGGCCCTCTCACGTGCATCAGTGAGGCAGAAAGACACAACTCAGTTGTGAAGTTTTATATAGAAAAATGGGGAGAATTTGATAAAGTGTTAAATTTCAAGATCCCTACAGATTGCCTTGGTACTGTTTGTGTGCTGCTGTGCCCTGTTGACCTCTAAGAAGGCCCTGCAGTGACTGGACAACTAGTAATAATATCTGTTATCTTGGCTAATGGGAGCACAAACAAGACTCTTGGAAATTAAAATGATTTCTCATTTTAAACTTTTCCTTTTCAGCAACAATATTCTTCTCATCTTAGTGAGCTACAAGTGACAACACTTTGCTCTAAGACCCCTGCCTGCTGAGATATAATAGTTTTTCTGTGTTTTCTTTATGAAGGTGCCCTAACTCCTTCAGGTACCTGCATACCTGCCAGCATTTGAAAACTAAAGAAACATCTGGGGAGAGAAACAGGAAGATCTTGCAGCTTTGATTAAACAAAATGAGATTAAGAAAGCCTTTGTAAAACAACTGAGGAACAGGATGCTAAAAAAAGAACATGGGTACACTCCCTGATTAAATACAGGATCTAAATATACATGTGTCTCTGGGTATAATTCTGGTCTGCAGAGGCAGAAACACGGTGCAGAAAGACCCAAGGTGGGAAGAGCAAGGAATGCTGCATGCTAAGGAGAGGAAAAGCCATGTGAAAGCCCCAAGTGAGCTGCACCGAGTACCTGACGGGGCCACAAAGAAAATGGCAAATGACTGTATATTGCCAATAAGTTGCCTGTGTTCTGCTGCATTCTCCTTAGGGGCACAGAGGCTCCTGCCCTCTTCCAGCTCCGCTACTTCAGCTGATTTAGCCCACTGCAGCCAAAACACACGTCATGGTGCAAACAGGCACATGAACTGGTAGCTATGTACACGGTCGGAAAGGGCAGGACTAGAAAGAGTGGCCTGTGCAGAGAAGGAGGAGAGGGGGCAGGTGTGCAACAGCGGAGGGGGCTGCTCGTCTGCATTTAGATGCGCTGGCAGAGCAGTGCTGGGGGATGCTGTGATTCCCCTCCGTGGTGCATGGACCAAGTCAGTAAGGAGCCGGTATGGGATAGTGTCAGAATTTGAAATGGAAATGCATGGTTGCAACCCTAGAAAGGAAACTTGCAAGTGCCGTGGCATGTCTTATTTATTCCAGGATCTGACCTACCACATTCACAAACATCGCTCTCCACCTTAAATGACCCCAGAAAGGAAAAACACTGCAATACATAGCAAGCTGTGCGGTCGCAGGAGCTTGGCAGGAGAGAGCAAGACTTTCAAGGTCATGAAAACATGCAGGGGAACACTATGAACGAGCACTAAGTAGGCGAGCTCAGCAACATGCAGGTACTCGCATGCTGGGGTGGACAGGTATGTGTGAAGAGGAGTTGAATACACGGGGAGCGTGTCTACACGCCCTGAGAGCACAGAGGGGAACGTGAAGCTGTGAGATGACGTGGGTGGACAGCCTCAGAGAGTAAGGGATGGAGCCTTTTGGTGGGAGAAGAGGTGTTTTCCAGGGAGCAGCAGAGCAATGCAGAGCTTTGGGTGTGCCTCCATGCCAGTGCGGGTGGGGAAGCTGGGAGGTGAGGAAAACTGGTGTGGCTGCATACGGGAGCGAGCAGGTGCTGCAAGCAGTGACACACACACGGGGGTAACCCAGCTCCTGCGGACTTCCAGGAGCAGGGAGCGGCTACAGAAATGGCTGCACACATCGGTGATGTGCCTACATACGTACAGTGATTCCTTAGGACACTTACATAAGAGACGGCAGCACCTATTAGACAAATGCTATTTACTGAAGCCTCTTGCCTGTGGTGCTTTCCCTGCATGAGTATCCTATACAGAAAGGATCCTTGGCTGTCGCCATGCATGAGGGAAGACAGCAAGAGAGACTCTGTCGACAAGGGACCAGCACTGGAGAGAAAGCTCATTTAACAGTGCCTGAAACCACTTGCTCCTCTGGTTGACAGCAAGTGCACAATGCAGCCTATGTTACTCAGGGTGTTTTAACACAGCATCCAAGTCCGTGATCTCACAAATCCCAAGCTGGGTCTTAACATTAACCCTAACATTAAAACACCAGGGCAGAGTGTAATGAAGTGTCCCATACCTTGGGTTTATACAATGGAAACCACTGCAGCCTGCAAGGCTTTTACGCAGAATAATAAAGCTGGCATGGAAGACATGCTTCTGGTCTATAAAACAATGCACCAAGCATCGTCACCAAGTTGTTTAAGAGCAGCAGCATGTTGCTTAGCTGCTAAAACCCTCACCTCACCTCCACCTCACACCATGGCCTCCTCAGGCTCAGAGGGAGGAGGGAAGGGCTGCAACTAGATATTCATTACAGATCAGCTCCATGCAGGCCACCTTGGGTCAATGAAGTGCATGCAAAATTGCCCTAGCACTAGCCCAGCTGTCTGCCATGCAATGGAGCTCGGCATCAATTTCCCTGGCCACCTGAAACAACAAAGTGAAGTGCAGGTGCTGCAATTCTTCTGCTGGGAAATAATCGTTCTTACCCAGAGCAAACAGGTTTGGCTAGATGTGCTCAGCAAACATTCAGAGCACAGGATACTTAAAAGGCACAAAATGATGCAAAATTAGGTTAGACCTTTGTTTTCTTGGGAGATTCAATTGCTAGTTTCTGGACTGTGGGCTGATTTGGTAGTACTTGGGGCACACAGAGACCCTGTATATGTGGAAAATGCTACACGTGGAAATGCCTTTAGAACCTGAGAAACACACACCTGCAGAGAGTAAAATTACAGCCATTTCTTTACAAAGCTACAGAAGCAGATAGTACTATCCCATATATTTTAAATAACAATAATTTTAAAAATTGGGATTATTTACAAAGGAATGCAAAGAAATGCACACAGGGATTTGTATGGTTTCATTTAAGCCGTATAGTGAGATGACAAATCCCAAGCACTCACAACAGACATAGCTGGTAAAATCTGAAAGCATGAAAGAAGAATCATAGCCTACGTGCGTGCAACTGTATAAACATATCTACTATGTTAATCAGAAAAAGTACTGATGCTGCATGCCTCTGCCTTGTCCTTGGAGCAGAGCAGCTCTGCTGGAACTGCCGAGGTGGCCAGGGCTGGACAAGGGCTGTCCTGAGTGTGTGCTACCAGCACAAGAGGTGGCTCAAATACTTTCCTGCCATCACCACTTTCTCTCTCATTTTTTTTTTTTTTTTTTCTTCTTCTTTCTTTTACTTGAATGTGCCTGCTCTGGGAGAACCCCTGAGCACTACCTGGTTTGAGGATAAGCCCAGTATCATTCACCCAAGTTGTCCTTCCTCCTGGGGCCTCTACCCTCAGCCAAGCAACGTATGAAGCCCCACTCTCCTGAAAAAAGTTTTCCAGTAACTCAAGCCTTAAGCTGCCTTTGCACCCTATCGCTCAGCAATAGAGAAATACACCTAGATCTAACACCACAGGGTATGGGGGTCCTGCTCAGCCTGGTATTGAACC